GAGGTCATACTTCTCTGAATTAGGGCATTCCCAAACATAGGAACAATGTTGGAGCAAGACCTTGAGTAGCTAAAGAAAAAAAAAGGTTAGCATAGGAGCACAAATCTGGCCTGCAACCTTAAGCAAATTAATATCATTGGTCTTATAATTACAGTTAACTCAATTATCTACACTAAAAAGGAATATGGATGGAGGACAAGCACAGAACGATTAGGTCTATAATGATATTCATCTGCTCAGCTTTTTGTCACAGGCCCGATAATACCTCCTGTGATCAACAGATGATGTGGGCATAATTGGAAGTTGCCCTATTTATTTATAATAGCCCATCATAAATATACTAGTTATGGTGAATAGGCTTTTCTTTAAATGTGAAATTAACGTTTGGAACTTACCTAGAGCGGTGTTTCTTAAAATGTGATCTGGGGACCACAAATTATGACCGTTTGTTACAGATGAGAAAATTGAGGCTCCGAGAGATGTTAAGTGCTTTGCCCACAGTCACATAGCTGGTCAGTGTCAGAGGTGGTATTTGCACCCCCCCATTCTACCTGATTCTTTGTTCCATGTCACTTCTGTTTATCAGTTTCCTCTTCAAGATTTAGCCTAATCGCTATCTCCTAAAAGAGGTCTTTTTTGATTTTCCCACTTAGTCTCCCTTCACCCTAAATATTTGTATTAGCAGCAACTATCTAGCTTTTATCCTTGTACACCCAGCATCTCATAGAGTGCCTGGTATACAGTAAGCACCTAACAAGTGCTTGTTGATTGGGATTGAAAAGAATTGAACCCAGAGCTCGGATTCCTTGGTTTCTCAAACACTGGAACCCAGGTTCATTGTCACCTCGGGTGATCTTTCCTATGGAAATGACCTTATCTGTGGGACCTTCTTGTTCATTTCCAAGCCCTGAAGTTTTGGCTCATCATGCAGAGTCACTCTATCTTCCCTGCAGTGATTACAGATAAAATGAAAAGCAGAACTGAAAAACCAGGGACTCCCATAAAGGTCTGAATGTGATTTGGATCCAGTACCTAAGAAAATAAGGGGAGGGGGATGCTGCTACGCAGCATGCACTTGCCAACCCCTTGGCAGCAACCCGTCCTTTCTGGATCAGGCTTAATCAATAGTGGACACTGTTCAATTGAATTCAGCTGCCTTACCAATATTTGAAAAAAACAAAACAAAACCCAATCTTGTGTAAAGGATACAGGATGGTTCCCTGTTCTGATTTTTTTTTTAAATAAAGACTCTGGTTACTGTATTTGTTGTTCAACCTCTCCCTGGGATTGGATATGATTTTGGCCTGAATGACATTAGTAAACTATTTCCTGGAATGTCAAGGGCCTCAATAGCCCTGTCAAGAGAGACTCTCTTCTTTCAGGGGCTGTGGAGAGAGAGCAAGACTGCTCTGTTATTATAAGTTGTGCACTGGCAGAAGCTGCGTGCATCTGAGATAATTTGCATGTGTCCAATGAGCGTGATCTACAGCTCTAGGGAGGTTTTCAAGATTGCATGATGGCACTGTATAAGAATCTCCTCTGGGGTGGGGGGAGAGGGAAGAGGTTTTCTTTTTTTCTTTTTTTTTCCTCCCTTTTCCTCAGCCTCATTTCAAGGCAGTTCACCCTCTACGCTAACGTCTCCACGTGCTGAGAGCACATAGCTGACCATCTTGCTTCTGTGGCTGCCGATCTCATTAGTCGAGAGCATCAGCAGTCTGCATGGGTGGAAACAGGTTATTTCAAAGCAAGGTAGGGCCTCAAACCTTCCTGTCAGAAAAAGAACGCTCCTATTTTTCCTCTCTTGGCTTTACTGAAGGAACAGCCAGGGGGAACCAGCAATTTGGCTCTTACTTGTGGTCAAAGGCAGAGCTAAATTTCTGCTTTCTAGTTTGTGAATGCCAGGGGTGAGAGGTTTCAATTCCATCTCTCTCTGGACGCTTGACTACAGTTTTAGCTGTCCACATCACACACTTGTTAACCCAATCTGTGCACCAAAGGTCCTGGTCTCACTTTGTGCCCACTGTAGTGTGGCATACTGGGAAGAATGCCAGGTTCAGAGCCTAGACTGGAGTTTGGGTGTGAATTCTGGCTCTGCTATTTGGTAGCTACATGACCTTGATCAAGCCATTTTATTTTTGGAGAATGAGGACAATGGTATTTAATCCCATTTTCTCAGAATTATCAGGAGGAAAGCACAGCCTAAATCTCAGTGCATTACAGAAGTGTGAGTTATTAATGATAACAGTAATTTTACTATAAAAGTTTACTACTAACAATAGCCATTTTACTATAAAATGTACTACTACTAATAGTAACTTTAACATAAAAATTTCTACTAACAAAAGTAATTTTACTATAAAAATTTACTACTAATAATGGTAATTTTACTATTTAATTTTACCATTAAAATGTACTACCAGTAATAGTAATTTTACCATTAAAATTTACTACTAACAATAGTAATTTTACTATAAAAATTTACTACTACTACTACTAATTTTACCATAAAAAGTTCTACTAACAGTAGTAATTTTATTATAAAAATTTACTACTAATAATAGTAATTTTACTATATTATTTTACTGTAAACATTTACTACTAATAATAGTAATTTTACTATATTATTTTACTGTAAACATTTACTACTAATAATAGTAATTTTACTATATTATTTTACTGTAAACATTTACTACTAATAATAGTAATTTTAACATTAAAATTTACTATGAACAATAGTAAATTTACTATAAAAATTTACTGCTACTAGTAATAATTTTACTATTAAAATTTATTACTAATAATAGTAATTTTACTGTAAACATTTACTACTAATAATAGTGAAATTACTATTACTAACATTAATATAGCACTTATTGTGTGCTGGCTCTCTATTAAGTACTTTACTTATAATAATTGATTGTTTACATATTTACTATTATTTTATATTTGCTATTAGCACTAATAATAATTTACTATTATCTCATTTGATCTTTGTAACAATCCTGGGAAGGAGGTGCTATTATTATTCCCATTTTACAGATTAAGTAACTGAGGCAGAATGACTTGCCCAGGGTCACACAGCTAGGAAGTATCTGAGTTCAGATTTGAACTCAGGTCCTCCTAACTTCAAGTCCAGCACTCTGTGTACTGTGCTTTATTATCCTACATGTCACTGATATGAAAAAAGAAAAGAAAAAGTTAAGAACTAGTTAAGATCTAGTACTATCCTCTCATTTTACACATTAGGAAACTGAGGCATGAAGCATAAGTGGATCCCTGAAGATCCCATAGGCATGAGGTGGCGAAGCTTGGCTTTGGTCCCAGAACTTTCTATAACTGAGTAAAGATTTACGTGGACACTTCTGATGCCCTGCTTGGGGTAAAGGCTCCCATGGTGAGTGGGAGTTTTAGGTTCATTGATCCAGTGCTGGTAGGGACCTTGTGGGCCCAATACCCTCTTCTTTCCCTATAGTCTTCCTTGGCAATCTTACCCATCAATAGACTGGAGAACAGCCAGTCACCCTGACAGGTGAGAGCCTGGAGTCCATGATAAGGTTGGGTGGAGGTATGTGGGAGGAGACCTTAAATGCTAGGCCAAGGGAATTGACACGGTGTAGACAAGGTGGAGCTGGTGAAGGCTTTTGATCAGGGAAGAGAAGGAAGAGGAATGAAGTAAGTGTTTATATAGTGCCTACTATGTGCTGGGCAGCTAGGTGGCTCAGTAGATAGAGTGCCAATCTGGAACATGAAGACTCATCTTCCTGAGTTCAAATTCAGGCTCTTCCTAGCTGTGTGACCTTGGGCAAGTTACTTACCCCTGTTTGCCTCAGTTTTCTCATCTGTAAAATGAGCTGGAGAAGGAAATGGCAAACTCTTTCAGTATTCTTGCCATGAAAAGCCCTAATGGGTTCACAAAGGGTTGGACATGACTTAAAAACGTGTGCTGAGCATTTTGCTAAACACTTTAAAATATTGTCCAATTTGAGGGGAGAGTGACATGGTCAGATGCGTACAGTAGGAAGATTATTCTGGTAGCGATGTGAAGGATGCATGGGAGAAATACAGAGAGTAGACAGAATAGATTTGCAGAATGACCCCAATAAGGCAAAAGAAAATAGGTGTCTGATAGGTGCAATGACCAGTCATAACTTCCACAGATTGACAGTGAAATATACTTCCTTCTCCTTGGCACAGAGGTCAGTTAGTCAATAAACAATGATTAAGTACCTACTACGTGCAGTGATGGGAGCTGGGGAGCCATAGCCTCAGTCAAGTCTAAGTTTCAGAAGGGGTCAATATTTGGTTATTTCGTCAGATCCCACTTTTAGAGCTGAAAGAGACCGTCAGGGCTTCTAGTCCAAGACCCTCATTTTACAAATAAGAAAAGAGCCTAAGGAAGTGCTAAGATATGTTCAAGGTCACAGAGGAGACAAACATCAGAGATGGGTTTTGAATCCAAGCCTCTGACTCTGCAGTTAACACCCTGTTCACTGGCCCACAAAAGTCTCGCTTGGATTCTGGGCATATTACGGTTGCAGGACTCCTCCTCTGTGTCTAGGCTACTTATTCTTGGCTTAGATTCTAAGACCCAGACAAACTGGCTTTCCCACTGTTCCTCACACATGATACTTTCTGTCCTATCTCCCTGACTTTGCACAGAGAAGGGTAAATTATTAGATCTTGGCAATTGATTGGGTATGAGCAAGTGGAAAGTGTCAAAGATGAAATGTCTCAAACTCGCAAATACATCTAGGAGGTTTCTTTTAGCTCTTCGTGGTCTACAGTTCTGTGATGAAACTATACTGGAACCCTAAAGATCAGACCCCTTAATATCACGCTAAAAGTAGATGCCGCAAGATGGGTGGGAGCATCTATAGGGAGCTAGCTACAGAGTGGAATTCAATGCTGGACGTGTACTCTCCGAGTCAATAGGGCAGAATTAATAAAACCTCAGGTCACTACTCTGGTTTGACTTTTGAGATATAGTAATGAAAGGAGACTGAGAAAATGTTGCTTTAATTCGATTGCAAGAGGACATAGGGAACCTGGATTGGTGGTGTGATCATAGGGTTAACCCCACCCCCCCCAGCCAATACAATCTTCCATCAGAGAAGGAGAGTGAGAAGCATTTGAGTCAGTGCGGTTCAGATCTACAAATTTCTGCTGGCAAACAAACTATTCCAAGAATTTTAGCTGTGACATCACACGGACATAGCCCACCGAGGAAGGTTTTTCCAGGCTTGGAAAAAAATAGCTGCAGATCAAAATACACAAATCACAGATGTTTTCAGATGCTAGGGAATAAGCAGGATTTCCACCGAGCCCCATCTCCAATTCACCATTCATTCCTTTGACCCTAGAAATAAAGGAAAAAAATGCTGTTTCCATCAAAGCTTTCCACAGTCTGTCAAAGGAAACCCCTATGTCACTCCTGATGTGAAATTCAGCCTTTGTTTATGTCAGTGGGGAACTAGTGAAGGAAAGAGGATGACTCAGTGTAATGGCATTCTGGTGCCCCTGAAGAATTTAGAAAGCTGGAGAAAAAGGAAAAATGGAAAAAGATCTCACATTTGAAATGAGTTAGCTACTGCCCTGGCAGCCCGTGTTCTGTGGGGACAGGATGGGGTTGGGTGGAAGGAGGGAGTTAAGTGTCAGGGAGAGAGGGGAGTCTGCTCCTCTCTGCCAGAGAATCTTTTCTAATGATCGAAAAGGAATTGCCCCCTTCCCTTCTGAAATGTTTCCTTGGGGAAATCAAAGCTTTAATTTATGAGGGTAACATCTGCCTTGTTGCCTGGATTAACAGCAACTTAAAGGTTATCTCCTGGCAGGGAAAAATGCTCCCTTCACACATCGGCTTTTCTGAGTGTTTTATTTTTTTTCCTCAATTTTTATCATTTTCTGAGCATTTTAAGGAGGCAAGAGGTCTGGCTTCTGATTCTGGAGCATTGTGGCTGCAGGTCTCCTGTCCTGCTCCCCACCCTCACAAACCCTTTAACCCCAGGCCACTTGTTACAGGGCTGGCTTCTAAGCATCAGTCAGAAGGGCCTTCTATCTCCCATCCTTAGCACAGGCTACAATACTTCACAATTCTTAGTTTCCTTCAAATAGTTCCTCCTACCTAAGACTTTTGCCTATCTTCCCAGATGCTAGTGCCTTCTCCTAATTGGGTATTTATTTTCTGTATACTTACTGTATACACGTACACATGGTCACCTACCTTCCCCATTACATAGAATGTAAGCTGTTTAAGGTCAGGAACTGGTTTATTTTTGTCTTTTTAGCCCTGTAAGCCTAGCACAGTCTTGACTTATAGTAGGCACTTAATAAATGCTTATTTCCTTCCCTTTCTCTTAGTTGATCAACCAACAAGCATTTATTAAGCGCCTACTATGTGCCAGACATTGTGCTGAGTGGTTTACAGTTATTATCTCATTTAGTCCTCACAACAACCCTGGGAGGTGGGTATTGTTATTATCCCATTTTACAGATAAGGAAACTGAGGCAGACAGAAGTTAAGTGACTTGTCCAGGGTCATAATAAATGTTTGATGGTGGATTTGAACCCAGGTCTTCCTAATGCCACAGGCAGCTAAGTGGTGCAGTGGATAGAGTTCCTGGTGTTGGAGTCAGGAAGACTCATCCTCATGAGTTCAAATCTGGCTCACTTATTAACTGTGTGATTCCAGGCAAGTCACTTAACCTATGTCTGCCTCTGACAGTGGTTAAGTGACTTGCTCAAGTTCATATAGCTAGTGTCTTGAGACAGGATTTGAACTCAGATCTTGATTCCAGGCCCAGTGCCCTATCCACTGTGCCACCTAAGTATTATGTCACTTTGATTCTCACAACAACCTTGGGAGCTGGGTGCTATTATTATCGCCATTTTACAGATGAAGAAACTGAGGTTGAGAAAGCTCGAGTGACCTGTCCAGGGTCACTCAGCTAGGAAGTGTCTGAGGCCTGATTCAAACTTCAAGTCCCGTATTTTATCCACTGCTCCACCTAGCTGATATAATATACGTAAAGTGCTTTGCATAAATTAAAATGCATATAAATGATATTGACTATTATTATAATTAAGAATTATGTTATATTATAATACTATCATTAAGAATAAGGCAACAGATGCACAGAGAAGTAAGTAATTGATAGGTCATTGTTTGTCCTTTGTTCTGGAAGAGGGCCATGACATTTAAGGTGATTTAAGTGAAGGAGGGCTGTGCAAAGTCACCAGCCTCACTCTCTCCTCCTGAGTCATTTGGGTCCAGCGCCAAGATATAGATCAGGATGACTGGAGAGGGTCTAGGCAAGTACCACAGCTAATGCAGAATGAAAGCTTCTTGAGGGCAGGGACTCATTTTGGTATCCCCAGCTCCTCGATTAAATGCTTGGATCCTACAGGGTATTTAATCAGTATTTATTGGTGAAGTAAGCAAGGACTAGAAACCAGGTCCCTTGTGACCCTGTCCAGGACTTTTCCCAGCTAAGTATACCAGCATGTCCCTTATGTTTTTAACAGGGAAGGTTTTCCCTTCCTAACTCAGCTTTCCTACAGTGACTCCCATTTTCTTCCCTAAATTCTCTTATCATCTCTTAGAGGTGAAGCTGATTATTAACCTGAAATGACAAGATGATTAAGCTTGACCTAATCACAATATTCTCTCCTCTCTGATTTGGTGTATAGCTCAAGATGGCTTCATTATTGCTGACAGGTGACTTTGGGAAAGCCTCAGGTTAAAGACAAATGCATTTGACAGGGGTATCATGCTTTGTTACTCTGGATTATATTAACTAATGGCTCCACCACCCTCCCCACCTCTTGTTCTTGGATTCTAGGACAATTTTTTAAACACACGAAGCAGGAAAAAATTGTGTTGAATCAACCCATTAAAATTAGATAATATGAAGTATCATTTACTTAACTGAGACTCACGTAAAAGAGGTTTTTTTTTTTAAAAGGAAGATAATTTGTTTTTTAAGAAGACATTCCTAAAATTCATTAAAACCCAGAGGAAATTAATGTCTGGACCTTCAATGAGATTGCCTCATATGTGGAAGGGAACCCTAGAGACATTTAAGATCAGCGATGATAATCTTAAAACACAGATCTGACCATGTTGCTCCTCTGCTTAGAAATCTTCCGTGGTTGTCTATTAACTCTAGGATAAAACTCGAAATCATTAGCCTGGTGTCTAAACCACTCCACAGTCTGGCTGCTACCTCCTTTTCCAGTCTTATTTTGGCTTGACTGCCCCTCAGGCCACCTCCACTTTAGTCAAGTTGGCTAATTAGCTTTTCTTGATACCTGAATTTCTCTCTCTCATTTTTATGCCTTTCTAACGGTGGTTCCCCTATGTTTGGAATCTGTTCTTTCTTCACCCTTTTTGAAATTACTTTGGGCTTACCTATCCGTCTACATACTACATTCTTCCATGCCTCCTTCCCTAATTGAAGGTAAGTTTCTTGAGGGGAGGTACACAATGCTTTGCAAATATTAGATACTTTATAAATATTTGTCCAATGGGATTGAATTGACAGGATAATTACAGTTGGCCAATATAACTGGTTAACTATTTTATTATCCTTGTAAACAGTGTAACTAAAAGTCCTTTCAGTGTCACCTGTCTTCTGAGTAATGCAGCTGACATTTTTATTTTCTTTTGTTGTATAAGTTCTGATTTGGACCCCATTAGATGAGGCTCCAATGAGACCATATATGTGTGGCAGCAGGTGGTCCTGGGCTGAGCTGTCATACACACACTGATCCAGAGGACCTATCTGAGCATGTCCTACAACTCACCCCCCCACCTCATCACACTACCCTTGTGTAGCAACTGATTCCTCTTCAGGGCTTTAAATTTCCCCTTCCAAACAACTCACTCCCCACTTCATTCATGGAGGCTTGGCTTTCATGTAAGCAGTATATCATGACTGCCTATATTTTGTTCCCATCTGAGCCTAGGGTACTCATTAGATCACATTTTTTTAGGGGCATATGATTTTCAATTATTTTCCAGGTTTGAAAAGTTCAATATGATCTCACTACTTTGCCCTAGCACCTTTCAAGAATGAAAACCCATAGTATAACTGAGTTAGGCAAGGTATCCTTCATGTTACCAAAGGAGAAATCACCCTCTCTCCCCCTACTCTATAGCATTAACATTAGCTGAGATACAATACACAACTTTGGATTTCTGTTTATTGCTTTCCAAACCTGGAGAAAAGCAGGGGGTTTGAAGTGACTGAATAACCCACAATACCATGTATATATGGAGCCCACCTTTAGGAAATTCAGCAAAATTCATAGAAATAGAGTAAGAAAAGGTGAAAGCTGTCTGCAACAGACAGTCTTTTTCCTAGTACATTTATCCCTTCCACGTTGTGACTTTTCTCATCATGGTTTCGATACATTGTGGGTCGGCATAAGAAATTAAATGGGAATTTTGGGGGAGTTTTGCGGAAGCCACAGATGGCACAGAAAAAGTTTAGAAACTCAGGAATGCATAAAAGAGATGTATAGTGTTGTATAATGTAAACATATTTTATCTTTTAATACCATAATAATTCAGACTTCTTCTCTGGAACAAAGGGAGGGCCAAAACATTTTATGTGGATTTTCCAGATTGTGCAGGCCCTTTGTCCCTAACCCTGGCCATGTGGAAGGGATAACTGTATATTCTTTAAGCTCCGAACGGGATTTTAGACTTTTTCTGAAAGCTGGTCCAGAATGCTGCAGACTCTGACCTTAGGGAAACTTTCAGGTTCCCCAGGGAACCTTTAAGGGTTTCCTTAAGTTAAGGTATCAGATATCCTACCCTCTCCATAGAGAGAGAAAGGGAAAGGGGAAAGAAAGACCACCAATCTTTCTCCAGCTTCAGTTGAGGCAGCTATATGGGGTTCATTCACCCGGGACATAATGTGTGCTGGAAACATCCTCAGCTCTCTGCTTCAGGACTCCTCTCAGACACTCCTGACCCCTGAGCAATCTCCATGGGGCCATACTTGAATCTCCTGCTGGTAATGCTGCCCTTTTCTCTGTTGTCTTCCTCGCTTTGCATTCTGATTTGTTGAATTTCATCTCTTACTCATAAGCCCAGTTCCCTAAGGTCAGAGTCTGTGGCACTTTGGGCAGCCAGCCTTCAGATAAAGTCTTAAATCCTTGCAGAGCTTAGAGAATACTAGGGAAAAAGCATGTCCATATTCAGACAGCCCTCACCTCCCCTTAGCTATTACATAGCTCCATAGCTATGCATTGTGCTGAAGCTCCTAAAAGTAGGTACCATATGTAAATGGATTTGAAAACCTTATTGTTATGATGATCATTGGGCTATCAAGTATAGGCCAAAGGATCTGAAGT